GAAGTGGCACTGTGGCTCAAGTGGTAGAGCGCTAGCCTTGAGCTGAAGAGCTGAGGGACAGTGCCCAGGCCCAGAGTTCAGGCCCCAGGACCAACAACAAAAAAAAATGAGGACAAATTAAGAAAAAGACTTATAGAGCCTGGAATAAATTTTGGTTAAGGAGAGAGTCATTCATTAAATCTTATATTTCTCCAGCATTATTTTTCTGAGAGAGGGAGAGGGAGAAAAAGAGAGTGAGAGAATTAATCAAGAAAAATGTCCCAGATGTTTCAGGAAGAAAATTAATCAGACAGGTACAGAAGCACACAGTGTAATCTCAGCACTGGAGAGACAAGGGTAGGAGGATTGTGAGTTTGAAGAAAATAAAGAACCAAGAGAACATGAAAAAGGGAAAGGTAAAAGAAGAGGAGTTGGAGGAAATACAATGGGCAACAGAGTCAATCAGTCATGGGTTCTAATTTTAAGAAACAAACACAGCACCCTTCTTAAAGAAAAAAAAAAGATTAGGCCCACCACGCTCATGGAAAAGCAGATTTATTTGACACTGCTGGAACAGAGACAATAGAGGTCAAGGAACTAGAGGCGGCAATGCGGGTTCTGGGCTTTGAACCAAGGAAAGGGAGAAAAACAAGAAGAAAGAATGACAATGGAAGTGCAATTGATAAGAAAGGATGAGAATTAATGAGTTTCAGTTGACTTTTTGACTATGGTAACTCAGAAATAGTGAAAAGATGCCAAAGAAGGAACTCTGGAAGCTTTCTGTCTCTTCAATGATGATGAAACTGGGAAGATATCATTCAAACATCTGAGGGGTGTGGCCAAGAGGTAGGGCACGAAGTTGACTGATGAATCACTACAGAAGCTGACTGCTGAAGCTCATGAAGATGGAAATGGAGAAGCCAGTGAACAGGGAGTTTCTGCAAGTCATGAAGACCAGACTCCATCCATACCAGTGTCTTCTTTTCTACTGTAAGCAAGGTTTAGAGCCTGCCATTGTGTGAAATCTGGCCTTTGAAAGTGCAATCCACCCACCTCTTCCAGACCTTCCCCCCATCCATATAATTAGGGGAAGATGATCTTGAATCTATTTTAAACCTGAAGTGTTCTTTGATAGTAAAATTCTTTTTCAAATGGCCTGATGATGAATCCTCAAAAGCAGAACGGGCATACACTAAAGTGGAACAGAGGATCTTCAAGTCTGAACATAGCCATTTCATCTCACATTGCTTCACTCTGGTCATTCATTGCACACAGAGGCAAACACTGAGCAACTTCTTAAATGAGTGCTTATACCCCATCACCATAAACATCAGTTGGTACCTGGGTACAGTTTTCTCTTTTATGCAACGCAGTAAACTCTTGCTCTGCCATTTGGCATGTGTTAGTGTGATTTGTTTTGTTTTAAACATAAAAGAATTCTTATTTTGAGGTGAAGAAAAGTATGGAATTATCGAAGTATAGTCTCTGACCTTCCAAGGAATCCTTAGCCAACTTATGTAAAAGGAGGCACCCAGTGTCTCCTAGAACATTTACTGTGATTGGGTAAGAGATTTTAGTAATGAATAGATACCTATTGTTGCTTTCAATCAAAAATATATGAGATCATTTCCCAGGTAGGGACTAGACGAAACCTTAAGCAATGAGGTCAGCAGTAATCCTCAAGAGGTTTCTCTCTCTCTCTCTCCCCCCCGCCCCCCCCCTCCCTCCCTCCCCCCTCTTCTTCCCTCTCTTCCTCCTCCCTCCTCCCTCTCCCCGTTGGCCATGCCCTGCTCAAAAGAGACCCCCTCACCCCACCCCCGCCAGCTCCCCTGCAAGCAGACTGGACCTGCTAAGGAGGGCGGCTCCGCTTTGTGAGGCTCTCCTAGCACGCCACGACCCCGACGCTGGGGTCCGCGCTGCAGGCTACGACCTGTACAGTGCCTATGATTATATAATACCACCTGTGGAGAAAGCCCTTGTGAAAATGGACATTCAGATAGCTCTTCTTTCTGGGTGCTATGGAAGAGTAGCTCCACGTTTTGGCTTGGCTGCAAAACACTTCATTGATGTAGGAGCTGGTGTCATAGATGAAGATTATAGGGGAAATTTTGGTGTTATATTGCTCAATTTTGGCAAAGAGAAGTTTGAAGTGAAAAAGGGTGATCGAATTGCTCAGCTCATTCGTGAGCAGATTTTTTTATCCAGAAATTGAAGAAGTTCAAGTCTTGGATGATACTGAAAGGGGTTCAGGAGGTTTTGGTTCTACTGAAAGAATTAAAATTTGGGCCAAGAATAGAAAATGAAAAGGCATACTTTTTATTAAAAATAATAGGTTTTGTGTCAAGTGTTTTTGGTGTTTTGCACCATAGTAAACTTAATAGTTTTAACTTGTAAAAAATAGTTTATTTTCTTAATGATAGAAGGAAAGTTTACTTCTGTCGGGATTATATGGAAACTTATTTTGTGTTTCTGCAATTGGTAGTATGAAAATCTATCTGCTTTGTGAATACTTGGCAAGTTTTAAAAAATCAGATGTACAATTTAATTCAGTAAAGGGTATCTCTTTGGTTCTGCTTTAAAAAAAATTAATCCTCAGGAATAAGGTTGGTAGCATTCAAATATGACCTTAAAATAGCTCCTTATTAAATCCTACTTCAAAGAGCAGACAAAAATCTTAGCTTTCAGATTGGCATGGTAAGAAAAATGAAAGCTTTCTGTATTTCAGAATGGAAGATTTAGGTGTGGCAATGCCTGGATGTGGCTAGGATGAAATTCTGTGCCTGGTTTTCTGTTCTGTTCGTTGGGTGCTGTGAGCTTGATACCAGTTTTAGCCGTGTCTGTTTATACACTGATGTGAGAAGTTAAATGATAGAGACAGACAGACAGACAGATATGACAGGGAGATATGACAGACAGATATAGCAGCCTGCACTAAGAACTTTACATTAAAACTTCAGAATAGCTGGGCAACAACCCAGCCACATTGGTTTTTTTTTTTTTCTTTGTGTATCAGTCTGACTTAATGCCCACCTGGCCACTTACTCCCATTCTAACAACCACATCCCAGAAGGGATTGGATCATGAAGACAATCAAGCTATACATAGAAAACAGGTCCCGGGCTGGGAAGGTGGCTCAGTGGTAGAGCGCTTGCCTTGCATGCATGAGGCCCTGGGTTCGATTCCTCAGCACCACATAAGCAAAAAGAAAAAAAGCCAGAAGTGGTGCTGTGGCTGAAGTAGTAGAGCACTAGCCTTGACCTAAAGAGCTGAGGGACAGTGCCCAGGCCCAGATTTCAGGCCCCATGAACAGACCCAAAAAAAGAAAGAAAGAAAAAGAAAACAGGTCCAACCTCAAAGTTGCCACCTACTTACTGACCTAAAATTGATATTCTTTTTTTTGGCAACCCTTTCCTGCACATTCCCAAGAATAGTCAGAAGTATTCAACCTGACTTCTTCAGAGATTCAACAGTTTATAGGTTCTACAAGAGGTCACTTTCCTTCTAAAAGTCCAAAGTAAGAAAGAGAAGCTGAAGGATTTCAGAAATAAATAGAATCACAACAGCAAATGTCTTCTTTCCTAAGGCTTGTGGCTGCCTCCCATTTCCACATTATCTCTTCTACTTAAGGTCACTAGAATTAACAAATACAAATACAAGATGTTCAGTTACATTTGTGTTTTAGATGAACAACAAATCATTATGTTTCTGTGTGTGTGCCAATACAGCACTCAACCAGCTGAGTCATACCTCCAGTACAGTATTTTGCTGGTTAATTGGAGATAGAGTTTCTCAGCCTTTTTTTTTTAACCTAGATTGGCTTCAGCTCAGGATTCTCAGATCTCAGCTTCCTAAATAGCTACAATTATAGGCATAAGCCACTGGCACCTGGCCAACAACTCATTTTTATTATGACTACATTACATGGCTGGGAGGGAAGTTTACAGTTTCTCAGGAGTTTACAAACACCTGTGTTTTTCTGACAACCTTCCTCTTCCTGCCACTCTGGAAAGTCTTTTCTAAGGGTTCCCACAATAGTTCCCTAGGGACAGAGATTGTCCCACGCCAGCCTTCTTTCTCCCATGGCACTTTCACTAGTGCCCAGAGGAGGGCTAAGTGAGCAAAGAGTAGGCACAGCCTCTCTGCATCTGGAATCACTATTTCCTCTACATATCAGGCTCTGTAGTCTGATTTGACCCACATTTCAGCCTTTGTAAAAAATGATCCATTATCTCTTCCTCTTCCTCCTTCCTAGTCCCTCCCCCACACCTCCCTGAACCATAATTCATCACATACTTATATCAGGGTGAAAAGACATCCCAAGTTGATGGCTCAGGGATGAGCTGTCTTGAATTCAGACCTCTGGGAATGTCTGAAGGACTGATGGAGTTGGTATGTGGGGGAACACCTTGTGGAAAGTTCTAACAGCAATAAAAATGTGTGTGAAGCAAAAGAATGTTTGTGGCCTTTCTATGGGACCCAAGGAACCCACACTCGGCTGGAGTAGGGGAGCCACATCCGGGGATGGGGTAACCTAGGACCTGCACAGTGTCTATAGTGTGTGGACTAAGAGATCTCTTTGAGGACTCCAGGAGAAGTGGGATTCTTGACTCAGTTTCCCCATCTAAGTACTGAGTGTGCTGATCTGATCATACTTACAAATAGAATACTTTCCTTCTTCTGTTCTTATCTATAAGCTAGACCCTAAGCAGAAAAAAAGAGATTATGAGATACTTCTTGAAACTGACTTATCTTTTCAAAAAGTCAGTGAGTGCTAACAATAGATGCTGGAGGGGATGTGGACAGAAGAGAACCTTACTGCATTGTTGGTGGGAGTGTAAACTTGTTCAACCACTTTGGAAAGCAGTATGGAGGTTCCTCAAAAGACTCCACATAGAGCTCTCCTATGACCCAGCAATCCCACGTTTGGGCATTTTCCCAAATGATCACAAGCAAGGTTATACTAAAGCTACCAGCACAACTATGTTTATTACAGCATTCTTTACCATAGCTAAGATATGGAACCAACCCAGATGCTCCTCAGCAGATGACTGGATCAAGAAAATGTGGTATATTTATACAATGGAATTCTATGCCTCCATCAGAAAGAATGGCATTGCCCCATTTGTTAGGAAATGGAAAGACTTAGAAAAAATTATATGAAGTGAAGTAAGCCAGGCCCAAAGAAACATAGGTCCCATGGTTTTCCTTATTTGCAATAACTAGTATATGTCTAGAACAAACAGAAAAGGTCAAAAGCTATGTACATATGACCATATAAGATGATGTTAAGTGAAATGAGTCCCAAGATAGGGACACAAGTGGTTTTTTTCTTTCTTGCCATTGTTTTTAACATATTTAAAATGTACTATGTGATTTTTTTTGTTTCTCTTCTATGTTCTTCCCTCACAGTATAACCCCTGTTTTCACTGTATTTGATGTCAGTGCCCTGCATCTTGTATATACATTTTTCTGATTTGGGAAGGGGAAGGGAAATAACGAAATGCTGAAATAAGGATACAAGTTGACCCATTGTAACAATAAGATGTACAAGACACTATGTTGAAAATGAACTTTATAATTTGGTGGAGGGAGGGAGGAGTTGGGGAGGTGGAGAGGGAAGGGATGATATGGGCAAAACAAAGGAGGAGGAAACAGTGCTTGATAGGAAATGTACTCGTTACCTTACTCATGTAACTTTAACCCCTCTGTACACTATTTTTACAATTAAAAAATCATAAAAAATAAAAATAAAAAAGTCGGTGAGTGGCACAGCCGCGAATAACAATGACACATTATGTCAGGTCTGTGACAAACCATGGTTCATTTCCAGCAAATGGAAGTTTTAGATGTTTCTACAAAACAATGGGAAGCTACTCTTTATGCATCAACTGAGCACAAATAGAGTCAAAGGGGCATTCCATTATGCCTCAATGTATTAAGCATTGACATTGAGTTGCTTCATATTTACCAATATCTTACAGATGAAACACAATCCATACTTCATTATTTTAAATAGTTTATTTTGCAGAAAAGGGTCCGAATCAAAGACTTGGTCATTTATATTAACAGATAAAAGGAACTAAAGAAACTGAACTCCACAAGAGAGGTCATAAACTGCCCCTAGGTCAAGGAGCACTAACTAACTAAAGTTTGGGCATTCATGATATAGGGTGTTGTTCATAAGGATTCCTTCCACATAGCTTCTCCTCAGGTGATATGCCAAGTCTTCTAGTCCTTCATTACCAAATTATCTTACCTCTTTTATTTTTTACTTTAAGTCATTGTACATAGGGATTTCAATTCAACAAGTCAGACTATGAGTACAATGCATCTTGATTAATGACACCTTAATTCTCTTTTCTATTTGTTCCTCTGTCCTTCATTCTTGTGGGTACCCCCGATTCCAGCCTCTCTCCTCTCCATCCTTTTTGATCTCTATCTTTGCTTTCTCATCCTCCAATCTTTCCACCTCACCATCCTTCTTGCCCTCTATCTCCCTTGCCCCTTTTTCTCTGCTTGCCAATGTGCTGCTCCTAACTTGTTGGCCTAGCTCCTCTGACCCCCTGATTTTCGTATTAGGAGTCCCCCTTTGTGTCCTGGTTCCATTGCCTTTGCCCATAAGAGACTCTCTTTGCCCCTCTTTGTATCTTTTACTTACACTGTAGTTGATGTACATTCCCTTTGATTTCTTTTCATTTGAACCCATTGTGAACACCATATCAGTCAGCTGAATACCCTTAGCTAATTTCTTTATTTTATTGTCATACAGGGAGAATTCCAAATCCCAGGATCGGTGGTGCTTTATACGTTCCATCTGTTCTTTAAAATGCTTCAGATCCTCCATGACTGGCGGAGCGATTTTGAAGAAGAATTTAAAGCCCACATTCACAGGGCTCTCACATTTCAATATGTCCAGTAAAAATTGCATGCTGAGTGTTATTTCTTCATTCTTTTCCTGCTCCTTTATCCCCACCAGCCTTTCCACCTCTCTTTGGGTCTCCTTCCCCAACTGGCTTGGGTCCTCCTTCACCAGGAAAGACATGGCATAAAAAAATTCCTGGAAACTAATGTGTCGGAAGCTGTAGAATTTCTTCATGTCAAGTCCTTCCTGATAATCATCACAGTTCAGGAAAGCAGTAAGGCTGGGGGCATGTAAATTGTGCCTGCTGAGGTCTGCTTCTTCAAATAGGAACCTCTGATGTTGGATGCCCTCAGCTGCCAAAGAGCACAGATTCTTCAGGACCTTGTGCCGGGTAAGCTCAGAGCAGTTAGGGTCCTCATCATCGGTGGTCAGAAAGGTGGAGATATAGGCAGTGAAGATGTCAGTACTATTGCTGGGTGTCTCCAAGACCAACTGGCCTCGTTCCATCTGCCTCTTCAGCCAGGAGCACACTACCCAGCAAATGCCTGGAACCTGACATGCTTTGTAGAGAACAGCATTGGTAGATACTCTGTGCAAGGCATCCCTGGCTTGTCCCTCATCTGTAAAAAAAAGGCTGAAATACTTCTTCCTTTCTTCCTCCGAGAAGCCTAAGATATGGACATGATAGTGACATCGTTGATCCAGCATGGGCTCCAGACTCTGTAGTGCAGGAGGCCGAGTAGTGATGAGGAGGGAGCAGGTAGGAAGCAATTTCCTCTGAATTAAAAGGTGTAGCACATTCTCCATGGGACTGGACCTCCGCTTCTGTAAGTGTCTTTCAAAGGGCCTCTGTAGCTCATCAAAGCCATCCAGGATAAACAGAAGTCGCTCCGGCTGCTTCAGAATCTCTCTGACAGGGGCTTGATTATCTCCACAACACCAGAAGACGAGCCTGTCCAGGTCACATGTCCGAAACAAAACCCCTTCCCTGCAGCTCACATAAAACACATAATCAAACCGGTCTTGGTACAGGGTACCCGTGGCCCAGTCCAGCATCATTTTTCTAACCAGGGTTGTCTTTCCGGTGCCCGCAGACCCTTGTAGCACTACTAAGGCTGGGGATGGACAGGGCTCTTCTCCTAGACTAAATAAAGTCTCTACCTCCACCTGGACAGTGCCCAGCTCCTGCTCCAGGTTGGGGCAGGGAGGTGATCTTGGGCTTTTTGAGTTCAATGCCGCCACCACCAGGAGCAGCTGACTGTAGCTGCCATTGACACCCCAGGCTTCCTTCTCCTCCAGGCAACGCACATGCTCTCGGTATATTTCTCTGTAATCTAAACCAGACAAATTGGATTTTAGCACTAGAATAAGACCAAAAAAGGTCAAAGGGATGATTTGCATTCTGGCTCCCCTCTTCAGTGCCCCCTTTAAGCTTCTCTAACTAGTTTTCCTATCATGATTACAAGTCCTGGGGAATGATGTATGTATATACAAGTGTGCAAGTATCTAAGCAAGCATTTGGGGGGGTGGAGAGGTGGGGGGTACATGCATCTGGGCATATCTGTCTGAGTGTGTGAGGATGTGTTCTGTGGGTGTAGGTGTTTGTGGTGTGTGACTGTGTGCTTGTATCCACACATGCTCATGGGAACGGATGGATGGAAGCTTCCGTGCTGTGCAGGGAAAGTTGTCAATGAGCATCCACAGAACTCATCTCCAGTGCATATCTGTGTGAAACTATACACGTTTGTGAAACTATGTGTGTGCACCTGAGTGCTCAGGTGAAATGTTCCCATACAAAGAGGCCCGACAAAAGAGAAGAGGGGGAGAAAAATGGAAAACAGTGTCTTTGCTTGAGGAAGGGCCAGATGCTGAAGTAACCCATGAGCCACGACTTTGGGTCCATGTCCTCCCACTTCTAAACTGTGGTGTAGCTCTCAAAAATAAAAAGAGCTAGGTGCCGGTGGCTCGTGCCTGTAATCCTAGCTACTCAGAAGGCTGAGATCTGAGGATCACAGTTCAAAGCCAGCCCAGGCAGGAAAGTCCATGAGACTCTTATCTCCAATAAACCACCAGAAAACCAGAAGTGGTGCTGTGGCTCAAGTGGTAAGGGCACTCGTGTTGAGCTAAAGAGCTGAGGGACAGCACCCAGACCCAGAGTTCAAACCCTGCAACCAATAACAAAAAATAAAATAAAATAAAAAGAACCTATGGGAGAGGCAACGACCACCAACAGATCCCTCCCCCAGATGCCCTGCAGAAGGGACAAGTGGCCAGTTACACTTCATATCCCCTTCCTGCTCTCAGATGACATCAATCTACTGAGCAGGCTGCATGAGAACAGGTAACCAAAGCTGCTACCTTTTCCATGAGACACAGCTCAGCTGCCTAGCAGGAAGCAGCTAGGAACAGGTGTGATCCCCACAGCCTGGTGCTGTCTCTTCTGTTGGCAGAAATCCCTTCAGAAATATCATCCCCTCGCTAGAACAGCAAATGGAGATAAGAGATGGGCTGTTCTAGCCATCAAACCCATGCCCTTGTCTCAGGATCTATACCATCATTTGTTGAAATGCTTACCAGAGAGCATTTCATTAAGGCCCTGGGGCATTGGGAAACAGAAAAGTGAGAAAATACATTGCAGACCCAGGAAGTGGAAAGAAATGTTAAGAATGATGCTGATACCATCTTAATCTCTCCCTCTCCCAGTTGCACTCACCGTTCAGACAAACGTGGCTGAGCTGATCCACAAGTTCCAACAAGTGCATGGTCTTCAGGGCCCTGAGCACCATCCTCACAGCCTCGTGAGCCCCATACATTAGGGTTAGCCGGGACGCCAGGTCCACTGGGCTCAGGCCCTGCAGCTCTCCCCGAGCCAGATGCGGTTGACACATATCCCGTAAGTGGAACTTTAGTATCTTGAAATTGTTCTCCTCCAGGTCACTCAAGACCAAAAGCAATGCCTCCCTGGGAGTTTTGGCTGGAGCCCAGGCCATGGTGATCAGTGGTGGAGGTCAAGTTTACACCAAAGATCTGCAAAAAGGTGACAAAAGGTGTTGAGCGATGAGCAGCCAAAAGGTAATCTTCAGCACCCAGCCTTCTGCTTGGTGGAAGCTGTGGAGCATAGGCCTGGAGAGACAAGACACCTGAGAACTTCCAGAAAAGCCAGCAGATGAGAGGGTAGGTGAATTTGTTTAGTCATTCTCCTGTGCTTCATAACAGATTATTAATGTGATTGTGTGGGCAAATAGGCAGGGAGGTATGCAAATATCTCCGCCTCTTCTCTCTCTCTCCACTGCCTGTCTCTCTCTTTCCTCTTCCTCCCAATCTCTTGTTTCAGGATCTCATATGCATTCTTAATAAGGACCAAAATCTTGTAGGAATCCTCAAGCCAATGTGTCAAGAAAAAAATATATATATGGTATGGTTTGGGGGTTGTTTTTTTTCTGAGGTTTTCAAAGCAAGCCTGTCCCTGTAAGTGTGAATGTTTATAGAACTGGTGCTTATTTGCTGACACTGCTGAACTATTGCAGGAAAGTAAAACTCTCCATCACCCTCCCACTGCCTTCACACATCAGCCTCAAGGACACCATCGCACAGGGTCCAAAGCTGAAGGTCTTCCCGTGAAGACGAGTAAATGTGTTCGATAACTATATGTAGAAGAATGGGCACTTTGGAGTGCTTGATTTGTGCCAAGTGATTTCCTGAGCACAGTATTTACTGGGGGCCAGGGGGAGGAGGACAGACAACTATAAAAATAGAGAGCCTTCACAATCCAGAATTGAACCTGCTCTCTCAGGCAAGGAGGACATCCCTCAGTAGAACAATGTCAGAGATGCTCAGAAGACAATTGGGGAGTGAACTTGCTGAGATTTAGATGGCAATATTTGAACTGCATGTTCCTGAGGAGGGAAAAAAAAATGTTAGGAGCATGATAGGATATGGGGGACATTGGCTTCAGATCATAGGCCATTTAGAAGCAGCTTTGGGGGCCAAAGCTTCAGGCCAAAGCCTCAGGAAAGAAGAGGAGAAAACGTGACACTAGGGCATCCCAAAGATTCCAGGCTAGGGCGTACCTGATCAAACTTGAGGAGTTGGAGGTAAGACAGAGATGACTCAATTCCCAAGGAGCAGGTCGCTAACAAGCAAGGTACTTGCTGGGAGAGATTTATTTTTAAAAAGTCCTATTTCTGGTCAGACTGCTCTGCAGACCAAGCTTGGATCTTCTTAATCCAAACCAAGTCATTTATTTGTGCCTGATGGAGTTGATATTAAAAAAAATGTAGGTATGAGGCCAGGTATAGGGATAATCTAAGCTCTCAGGAAGCAGAAGCAGTAAAATTACAAATTCAAGGCCAGCCTGGTCTACACAGTAAGACTCTTACTCCAAAAAAGCGGTGGAGAGAGAAGTCTAGAGGAGAAAAACTGGGAGAGAATGAGGGAGGGGGTAACACTGTTCAAAAGGAAATGTACTCATTACCTAACTTGCGTAACTGTAACCCCTCTGTACATCACCTTTACAATAAAAATTTTAATATAAAAATGATGCAAATAAACCATAATTCATTTCAAAAATACAAAACAAGCAAAAATATAGATGTAAACACCTAAACTCCTCCCCTTTGATACCTCACAGGGCTAGTCTATGTAGGGCTGGGAAAGAAGGATCTCACTGAGTTTCTCTATAGCAAAAACACCCACACACTGGATCTGACAGCAGCCTGGTGATTGCTCACCAGAGGAAACATCATCTCATTCCTCCAGACTCTAAGGGAGGGGCTAAAGGCATGGACTATTCTGTCTAGAAGAGAAACATCCCATGATATGTTTCATGTCCCTCCCTGGAACACCTAGCCCTCTCTGAAACTTTACCTTAATCCAGAGACTGGGCAGCTGGACTCTGGATCCTGTTGCCGCCACCTCTTCAGTCAGTACAACATTTCTTTATGTTGTTGAAACTACTGGAGGATTTGCTCCACCAAAACAAGCAAGGAAGAGCACAAGGAGCTTCATCAAATGGGACTCTAAACATATTTCAAAAGTCAGCTGTTGGAGCTGGGAAGGTGGCTCAGTGGTAGAGTGCTTGCCTTGCATGCATGAGGCCCTGGGTTCGACTCCTCAGCACCACATAAGAAAAAAGAAAAAAGCTGGAAGTGGCGCTGTGGCTCAAGTGGTAGAGTGCTAGCCTTGAGCTGAAGAGCTGAGGGACAGTGCCCAGGCCCAGAGTTCAAGCCCCACGACCAGACCCCCCCCCAAAAAAGGGCAGCTGTTCTGGGGGCCTAGAAAGATGTGACACCTCAAAAGCCCTAATGGAAAGAGAGCCAATTTCTCTGGAAAGAATGTTTCCAAGACAAAAAAAAAGACAGATTAACTGATGTCATTGTCCTTCTGAAAGACCCTAGAGAGAGACTACCAGAAGGTAGGAACACTAGGGGTTAAGTTCCCAGAAATTAGATAAATGGAAAGAAAATAAAGAAATATTTTAGGAGAGAGGGGAAAAAAACAGTAAACTAAACTCAAGTGTGAATAATTTTGCATACAAGGAATAGCACAATTATTGAATATTGATCTAATGGAAATTTACATTATAATCACATCAAAAGGATGATCATATACGATAGGTGTCAATAAGATCATTGTTTTAAACCATGACCATGAGTTTGGATAAAAGAAAATTCAGTACTCCAGGAAAGGATAGGAGGTAAAGAAACAGAGTTAATTTGTAGACAAATTTTTCATGACACTTGGCAACAAAAGAAATTTTTTAAAGGTGACATGGAAAATGTTTTATTTGTTTTCACATAGGAGGAGGAGGAGGAGAATATATTTAAATTTTGACCCAAAGCAGCCAATAGAAATGCAGGTGGGGTGAGGAAGTGAGAAGGTGAGAGAATTGAGACCAGGGACTGGGATAAGATTCAAAGCAAAAGCTCAGGTTGGCCTTTATGTGAGGGAGCCTGTTTGACAGAGGAAGACAGGTGTGTGGGTTTTGTGGTCAGAAGATAAACACGGCGGTGTCTGTATAAAGTATGAGTTAAGAGCCTCTCTCAAAAGTTTGAGGGCGGTGGGGAATTTAAGAAAGGAGAAGCTACAAGTGATGACTGTCTGTGAGCCTTTCCTCCTTCCCCAGGGCCCCTTGTGCCTAACGCTCAGCAAGTTTTCTGAGTCCAGAACAGACAAGTAGAGAAACTGTTCTGTTCCAGAGCCTTAACAAGCTCAGGCTAGACACAGAAACAAGAAAATCAAGAGTCAAAACCAAGAAACCAAGATAGGAAAATGAAAGAATGATCACATAGATAGGGTGACAGAGCTGAGACACCACTTACTGTGAGGCTCCAGGTCTGCTTTACTCTGAGATCCCTGGGCCAGATTCTGAGTCACTCCTAAGGAAGTAGAAATGAGATATGTAAAAATCCACTGTAATTGGAGGGTGGAGGCAAGAGATGGGTTGAGATCTTCCTTTCTGTTAACCCTGGCCTAGCTAGGGACAGAACCAATAACTAGGGCAACTGAGTACCTAAAAGGAAAGGGGTAGAAAGCAAAGATACAGAGATTAGGGACCAAAACAGACATAACGTAGACAGAGAAGAGATACAGAGAGACAGAAAACGATCAGTCAAAACAAAACTCAGAGGAAGGAAGAAGGAAAAGAAAGCTAGCTATGTTCTCTCTCTTTCCATCCCTGAGGGATTGGAGTGAGAACTTCAATTCACTTGTCCCTGTGACCCTCATGCTTTCAGATAAAGCTTCTCAAGCAATACAACAGAAACTTATGTATGACAGTTAATTTTTTTTAAGTGTCAACTTGGCTGGGCCATAAGGGGTCCCAACATTTGGTCCAATATTATTGTGGAAATGTCTGCGAAGCTGTTTGGAATGGGATTGGCAATGTAGCAATGTAAAGCAGATCACCCTCCCTAATGTGGGTAACTTTCATCAAATCAGTTGAAGAACTCTACAGAAGGAAATGCTGGTTCTCCTGGTGGCAAGAAGAACTTTCTCCCGCCTAGCTGCTTTGAGAGGAAACATGGGTGTTCTCTTCTGGTCTTCTGGCTTTAATGAAACACTGTCTCTTGGGTACAACTGGTATGTACCATCAGCTCTCCTGAGTACCCAGATTGCTGACTGCAATTGTGAGTTCTCAGCTTTTATAATCACAAAAGGCCAATTTCTTTTATTTGGGGGGGAGGAGAGTGGTCTGGTCGTGGGGCCTGAACTCTGGGCCTGAGCACTGTGTCCTCAGCTCTTCAGCTCAAGGCTAGCCCTCTATCACTTGAGCCACAGTGCCACTTCCAACTTTTTTTTCCTTTTTTCTTATGTGGTGCTGAGGAATCGAACCCAGGGCCTCAAGCATGCAAGGCAAGCGCTCTACCACTGAGTCACCTTCCCAGCCCCGCCAATTTCTTATAACATAGGAGTTTTTTTTAATGATCTGTTCCTGACCCTCAACTTAGGGAATACAATCTGTCACTCTCTCCTTTGATCTTAACACAGCAGCCACCAAACACAGTGGGCCAGCTCCTGCATTAACTCTGCATTGACTGTTTACACTGCCTCAATGCTTTCTTCCCTCTTAAAACATCCCAATAATAGCTATCTATCTTCATACCTTCACTCATTCACTTCATTCATGACACCTACCTCAACTCCACACAACTGAATCCCACTTACCCTGTTAATTGTTCCTTTTCGTAGTACAATTTAATAACTATTTATACTTCAGCACCTGTAACATAAAATATAATTTACTTTTTATTCTTGGACCCCATGAACACTTTAGTGTTTACTCACTGGCATTTCCCAAATACCTAAAAGACCATCTGAGGGCATATTCTGCATGTAAATTGTTGAATGAAAAGCCTTTTGTATGTGTATGTGTGTACTAGGGCTTGAACTCAGGGCGTGGGCACTGAGCTTTTTCACTCAAAACTAAGGTTCTGCCTCTTGAGCCACAGTTCCAACTTCTTTTTTTTTTTTAGTAAGTTTTTTATTGTGA